CCCTTTCCCCCCACATACATAATGAACGAAATAGACTTGCAACCAGAACTAGTTTATTGTCAGACTAGTTGCATTCAGGTCCCTGGCTCTCAGTTCATAGTGCATTTTATTTATTTATTTATTTGTTTGTTTTTGGCTGCTGGCCAGCACTGTGATCCAAACCCTTGACCTTGGTGTTATAATGCCACACTCTAACCAGCTGAGCTACCTGGCCAGCCCGCAGTTCTTAGTGCATTTGAGAAGGTAGAGGACCTTGATTTATTCTTGCCTTTCCCTCCTTTCTGCTTAAACAAAGTCAGAATTCCCAGCCAACAGCTGACAGACCAGGTTCACCCAGTCAGTTCCATCTCTCTGGGCCCTCCCACCTTCATTGATTGTCATTTTTTGACAAAACCACATTGCACACAGGTGTTACTAGGCGGGGGGCTGCAGCACATCTTAGCATTCCATCTCTGGAATGCTCACCAGGCCATACTGTCCAGCTTTGGCCAAAAGCCAGAGGGATGTATGTATAGACCTTATCTACATGCCCGCTGCATGTAATTGCCCAACCGTATGTGTTATTTCACCACCAGTAAAAATCCAGCAGGGAAATGAATGCTAAAATTAGTTTGTTTGTCCTTTGACAAGATCTCCCTAGTTGAAAAAATTTTGTTTGTCTAACTGGCTGGGCAGACTTTGCTAAAATCAAAATTAACTGCCTTGCTTAATGGTGCAATAGATTGTATTTTGAAGAGTTTCCACTGAATTCTCCTTGAAAGGACATTTGAGCTAGAAAGTTCAGCCTCTGGCAGAGTTACTGCATTTGGGGGTAGGTGTTTTTTTTCTCCTTGTGCTAGTTGTAAGATGAATGCACGTAGCCCACAGCTCTACTCTGAGTCAGTACATCTGTTGGACGGATGGGTGGATGGATGGACTGATGAATCTGTTTATTGACGGGTGAACAGATGGACGGAGGGATGGATGTTAGGTAGACTGGCAGATAGTTTAATTTGCCTTGCCATGTGTCTTAGATGTCAAGTTTGCTAACATTTAAGAGGAAAGAAAACCTGTAACCAGTGTCCTTGCAAAAAGTTTTTGCTAAACCCCACCCAGTGGCTCTGTGTCTTTTGGTGTTTGTAGAGCTAGGACTAGGTCTCACAGGCCCCTCAAGCCCATTTTCCAGACTGGGTCACAAACCCTTCACTTGCAGGTCTGTGAGCTAGGTAATAGGAAAAGGTCCTTGGAGCTGTGGGTGAAGAAATAATAGGCTTTATTCAACCCCTCAAGCCCATTTTCCAGACTGGGTCACAAACCCTTCACTTGCAGGTCTATGAGCTAGGTAATAGGAAAAGGTCCTTGGAGCTGTGGGTGAAGAAATAATAGGCTTTATTCAAAGCTAGAAGCAGTTGACCTAATATGGCTTCCCGGAGTTTCCTCTAGAAGCTTCGCACATCTGCACTATTAGTCTTTTTTACTCAAGTCCATAATCAAAAAAACAAAAACCTGGATGCACATGTGCAATCACATTAGACAATAATAACAAGGAACACCCGTGCATACGTGCATACCCACCTCAGATGCTCGGCAAGACTCCGAACATCCAAGGGACCCTGACCATTTTCCTTATATTTTCCCAACGGTGTTATTCATTCATGTGTTCATTCATTCAACAGAAATGGTTTTAATAAGCAGTTAGTATGTGGTAGGCACATGGGATATAGATATGGACAAAATAAGAATAGTTTCTGCCTTTAAGGAGCTCACTATCTAGTGTGGAGATGTGTTAAAAATCAGTTACACAAATAATTATTTAACTATATCTATAATCATTGTTTGAATTTATTTTTTATTGAGATATAATTTATGTAACATAAAATTCGCCATTTTAAAGTATACAATTCAATGATTTTTTTTTAGTGTATTCAGAGTGGTTTTTTGTTTTAAAAATGATATAGTTCACTAATAGATAGTTAATCTATTCTGCTGTTGTGTTGTTAGCACAACCAAAACACTTGGTTTGACCTACTTTAACAGATTTTCCATTATGTTGGCATTGAATCATCTGTGATCATTAATGTCATGACTTCAGAGATGTTCAATTCAGACAGGATATCCCGGAAGCTACCCCAGGGAAAGTTCCTCTGACCCTACTGGAAACTGCTTCTCACACAGGACGGCTCCAGTTACTTGACCTTACTGGTTCTGGGCAATCTCTATAACATCTCATAATTCTGTTCTTCTAAGAACACCTTCCAAGAAGGTCTCCAGCTAGAGGTGGAAGAAAGTCAAGGATCAGGAACCCTCAGAATCCCCACCCCATGGCTAAAGCTAAAATGCCAAATGCAGTGAAACTTTCCATGATTTAGCTCAGTTGACTCTGTTTCAAGAAAATAATGACTCATTGATCTTTTTACTTTGTGTTATTTGACTTGAAATGTAAAATGCTTGCATTTTCAGACACCTTGCAGGGTAATTCCGTGCAGGGATTAGAGGGATCCAAGTTTGGTTTCTGGCTCTGCCCAAGTTTTACTTTGTTTTCCTATTCCT